TTCAATAAGTTTAATAAATTTAATAAGATTAATAAGTTTAATAAGTTTAATAAGTTTAATAAGTTCAATAAGTTCAATAAGTTTAATAAGTTTAATAAGTTTAATAAATTTGATAAGTTTAATAAGACGATGTTTGTTCCCTTTCTGCAACCCCCCACTCTGAAGTGACTGGTCATTTGTGAAGTGCTGTTCTAAGAATCATCAGTAATCCATCAGCTGTGACATCATAGAGCAGACGTCTTGTCCAGGCTATAGTGGGGGCTTGTTTTATTGTTCTTCGTGGTTTAAACAATGTTTTCTCAAAAATGACATACAGTGTGAAAGAACACTACATTAGCTAATATTAAACTTCTACACTTTGACATAATTTTACTGTTTAATTTGTCACTGCTCTCAACTGAACAACAGCCATGTTACTATATGTTATATGTTACATTTATGTTACGTTGTGGCACGGTGGCACAGTTGGTAGAGCTGTTGCTGCTCAGCGAAAAGGTCGCTGGTTTAAATCCCGGCCCGGGCCATTTCTGGGAGGAGTTTGCATGTTCTCTCCGTGCATGTGTGGGTTTTCTCCGGGTACTCCAGTTTCAGGTAACTCTAAATTGTCTCTAGGTGTGAGTGAGAGAGTGAATGGTTGTTTGTCTCTATGTGTCTCTGTGATGGACTGGAGACCTGTCCACGATGTCCCTCGCAGTGAGTGATGGCTGGACATGGGAACCAGTGACCCCCCGTGACCCAAAAAGGAAGAAGCAGGTAAAGATGATGGATGGATGTTGCGTTATGTACCGTACAATGCCTATGAAAGTATTCACCCCCGTGTTTTACATTTTTATTGCTGTTATAAATCAATCAATGTACACCGGCTGAAAAAAAGAAGGAAAAACGCTTCAATGTCAAAGTGAAATCAAATCACTACAAAGTCCATCCATTCATGATCTTTATCCGCTTCTTCCTTTTCGAGTCGTGGGGGGTCACTGGTGCCCATATCCAGCAGTCACTGTGCGAGAGGCGAGGGACACCTGGACAGGTCGCAAGTCCATCACAGGGCTTACTACAAAGTAATACTTAATAAATAAAAGTATGTAATGTAAAAATTATTGCATAAATATTCCTCTTGTTTAAAGTGACTGTTCTAATTAAACTCAGAGAAAAGATTATTGCAAAGAACAAAAGATTTCCAAAGCCTTAAGCATCACCAGGAGCTCTGGTAAATCCAGCATCAGGTCAGGTCAAGTCAGGTCATCTGGATGGTTTTTTGTTGTTGAAATGTTTCGTTCCTCATCCGAAGGACTTCATCAGTCCAAGGAACTGCAACAAACTCAGTCCCATAATTGGCTTACTCACATAGTGGGCCAACTAGTTTTATGGTGAAAGGATGGTTTCTGGAGTGCGCCCTCTTCCCCATCGGCTCCTCTGAGGCAGCCGCAGCCAAAGTGGTTCAAAACATCAAAGTTCATGCTCAGTAATCCAGGTAGAAGATCCAACAAAGTTCAGTCAGGTCCTCTGGACGGTTTCTTTTTGTTGAAATGTTTCGTCCTTCATCCAAAGGACATCATCCTTTGTGTGTGTGTGTGTGTGTGTGTGGGGGGGCTCCAGAAACCATCTTATCATCATAAAACTGGTTGGCCCACTATGTGAAAAAGCCAATTATGAGACTGAGTTTGTTGTGGCTCCTCAGACTGATGAAGTCCTTTGGATGAATTATTAAAACAGATTTCGAGTACTGCTTGTGTTGTAGTTCTCATTATTTAGGTATTACTGAGTTTTGTACTTCTGTCATCAGAATTATACATATTGTACCTGCAACTATCATTCGACTGCAAAATGAATATGAACATATCTATATGAACCTGTATTTCTATATCTGTGCAACAGTTTTAGATCTGATTAAAACTCATAAAAAGTGGAAGATTAGCTTTAGGAATATATCAACTGCAGTTCTACTCAGATAAAATGAGAAGCCCTGACAGTGTGTGTTTCACTGTATCATGATATTCTTCATGTAGGTGTTTAGGGTCATACAAATCCACACATGCTGCTCACCCATCTGAAATATGTTCCCACGCTGTGAAAGCAGGAACCTGACGTGGTTCTTCTCTCAGGTCCGTCTCTCTGGAGCAGAAAGCGTGCCGGGGCTCCTGTCAGCACACCTCCTGCTCCAGCTGTCTCCTCCTGAGACGGCCCTCCTGCCATCACACCTGCGGGGCGTCTGATTCCACCTGCCTGCAGCACTTTGGGAGGTGTGTGCACAATCACCTGAGAGAGCTGTCACTTCCTGTCTGCAGCAGCGACCTGCAGGTGGGAACGCACCCAGAAGAACCGCTCAAACACGTTCTCCGTGCTGCGATACTAAAATGAACTCTTTTTATTCCTGTTCATTCAGAGCACCACTGAAGGGACGTTGGTGTGTCTAGTTCCTGAATGTTCTCATCCAAACACGAGCAGGTAGTCGCTGGTGGAAGGAGAAGAAACCACGAGGACTTCATGTGCTCAGCGTGGAAAAAGGCAGCTATCTGGTGAAGAGCATCCATTTGAAAATACTTTGTACATTTGCATTTTATAACTTAAGTCTGAATAAAAACTTACAAAATGATAAAGGAACATGGTCAAACACTTTATTTGTAGGAGACGGCCGTCTTCTTTAAATTAGTTCTAGTTTTAGTTGAATTTGAGCGTTTTAAGGGAGATCAAGGTCTACATGATGATACCTGCATATTTAATAGCAGACGGACAGTTTGACTTTAAATATCAGGTAAAATACAGGTGTACTTATGATGCTGCACACATTTAACAGAACCAGGTAGCTTCAGAAAACATCTGCGCTTGTCCTTTTGAAGTCAAAACATCTGTAATGAAAAGAGCTGCTGCAGAGTCTTTATCCCCAAATTAAATATAAAAATCCTCAAAATGTTAATCAGGTCTGCCCATCTCATGAGAAGTGTCTGCAGAAGGTTTGAAGACATGTTTAACACGTAGTACACCAGGCTAAATGTTAATAACGAGTGAATCGGTTTTCAAACACATACTTGAAGTAAGATCCCCCCCCAGGTAAAAGTTATTCAGTAACAGGCTGTTTATGAGTTATGAACCAACAATGAGCAGCTTGTTCTCTGTCCTTCAACAAGCGAGCTGTTTCTGAAGAACGTTTATCTGGAGGGTTTCGCAAGAACAAAAGTTTTCAAGCCAAAATGAAGGCGCTTTCATCTTAAAGCCAAATGAACCAGTGAGACGACCGACTTCCTGTTGGAGCTGGATACTGAGGCAGAGGAGGGAGATCTGCCGACAACCTAGTGCCTCCAAAACCCTTAAGGATTTACTGCTGGAACGAATCACGGAATGTAGCAGGAGGTTTAAATTAATACAAAAACATTTTGAAAGGTGTGTGACGATTAGAAGCCAGTATTTTATGTCTTTAGCTTCTGTGACTTCATATTATCAGGAGTCTGTTAGAACGACGGGGCCTGTTCTGTTATCAGTCGCAGTTATACATCTTTGTTGCTTTTTTATAAACAAAAGCCTCTGATAACAGAGGAGTGTGCCAGCTGTGATTAATGTGCCCGTCTGAGCTTACAAGTTCAACTTTATTGTTTCCATCATGTGGTACATGAGGCGGAATGAAAATATGTACACAGGGTCCCAGTTACACCCAGAAATAGCCAAATATAAAGTTGCACATGTTCAGACACAAACCCTGACTACAAACAGGAAACTAAGACAGACTGGCCTCGCTCAAAACTTTTGTTTAACTTATGGGCATTTTTTTGTTTTATCGTCTTTTAAACAATTCAGAGACTCTTTAAGCAAATGCAGATTTATTTCCTTTATTGCTGTTGTGAAAAAGAGCTGATCACCAAGCTAAAACTGAGGTGAGTTTATATTAAAATATAAAGGGGGAAGTCTTAGTTCACACACCGCCATATTTCTACGAGATGATCGTTAACGTGCAGCTTGTTTTGGTCGGCAGCAGAAATTTCCCACAAGAACAACATTTCCACCAAGTTTCGGGTAGGACCATAATATTCTTAAAAGTTAGTTTTTATTAACAGTAAATAAAACTATTTGTACAAATGAAGAAGAGAAACGGTATTAAAGGTGCATGAAGGTTGCTCAGGCCTGCAGTCGGCGTCAGAAAGGCACTGCGACGATGAACGTCGTGGTCGTTGCTCCGGTCGTCTGGTCACCTGAACAGCCTGTTCCAGAAGGACATGAAGGGGGTGGAGTTAAAGGCACCGATGAAGACGAGGAGCAGAAGGTAGAGACCCATCATGACGGCGAAGTGGTGTCTGAGGAGCCATGACCTGCTGTGGGAACGCCTGGTGAAGAACAACACGACAGCAGCTGAAAACAAAACACTGAAGACTTTAAGCTCAACAGGTTTATGTTGTTATTCTGGACCACGTGACAAACTCAAGGCCCGTGGGTCAAATCTGGGCCTCGTTAACATCATATCTGGGCCCTAAAGATAATATTTTAAATGTAAAATATTTTTAATGCTTTGCATTTTGCTTAAAAAACGATAAAAACTTCATTTAGTGCAGACTTCTTTGATTTTGATGTGGAAAGAGCAACTAATGTCAAATGAGACCAAACTGTTGCTGATGAACACACAACCAAGAAAAGATCTGACTTGAGTTAACGGATCGACTGAATTTGATCCATGGTTTTAAATGTGGCCCCTTTAATTAACAGAGTTTGACACCCCAGTTCTAGACTAACATGATCCTTATGAACACATCTTGTCATTTTGTTTGATAAAAAGTTAAACTTCCTCTATGTTCTTGTATCGAAGCATCAATAAAAAAAAAAAAAACTGAATACATTTGTCCTAAAATTTGTTTTGCGACAAGTTTAAGTGTAATCTAAAAGCAATAGTTTTATTCAACACAATTCAGTTTGCCTCTCCAAATGTGCTGCTTGAATTAAATTATTATTTTTTATTTGCGTTTGATCGGGAACACTCCTACCTGGACAGGTGTTTCCCCTGAGAGTACACGAGCAGGTATTTGACTCGTAAAAGCTGATTGTTGGTGACTATGAAGTATTTCTGCGGTACCTCGCCTCCTTCACTGTTCTTTGCTCGTGAGCGCTGCCGGTCTATGATGTCAGAATCTGGAATGGGGGGAAACAATGAGCAAAAGTCAAAAACCTGAGCTGAGCATCATTCAGAGAGGACTTAGTTGTGGGATTCAAACAAACCTTTCTTCTTCACCTGGCACTTCACATCTGGATGATCGATGATTTCACACAAGGCGACGCAGCTGAGCAGCGGACCCAGGATGCTCTCTCTCCAGCTGCTGCTGTGCGGGCTGTACAGGAGAGCCATGCTCAGGTCACTGGTGAGGTAGGTCCCTTCCCCAAATACAGAGTTCTGCGCAAACAGAAAATCACTCTGAAAACCTGTGAATGTCCTGCCAGTGTGGCAGAAGTCATCAACATGTACTCTGAAACAAACAACAAAAAAAGTATTTTATAATAGTTACACACCTAAGTCATGACGCACAATGACTATATTAAACCTACAGGCCATATGTCAAACAAAAACTTTGATAAACTTCAGAAAAGTATTCTAGAGTTACTAAGAACAAGAAAATAAAGATTTCTGGATGTGAAAATACACAGAAACAACGTGAAACCTTCACCTCGCTTCTCAGCTAGCTGACTGCAAGAATGAGAAATTGACGTTTGATATCAGGGAACGTCAAATCGTTACACAAACAGTTTGCCGTAAAAGTGCTGATTCTACAATACAACTGCTTGCCATACTCTGGTCTTTCTCCACTGCAGCCATCTTTGATCACTCTGTGACCACAAAACTTACAGCTGATTTGAATCAGACAGGCCGATCTTTAGGCTCCTGAGTTTTATTCTATTCAATTCAGTTTATTTATATAGCGCCAATTCACAACAAAGTTGTCACATACATAGAAAAGCCAATTAGTAAAAGTTCTTTAAGTCTATCTGGTCTAACTGATTGGATTAATTTGGTTTCATGGACAAATATAACTGTGTATCATCAGCATAACAATGAAAATTTATCCCATGCTGTTTTAATAACTTTACCTAATGGAAGCGTGTAAATAAATAGCATTGGTCCAAGCACTGAACCCTGAGGAACTCCATGACTAACTTTGATGTATGAAGAAGATTCATTATTTACATTTACAAATTGGAATCTATCAAATAAACATGATTTAAACCAATTTAGAGCTATTCCTGTAATCCCAATATCATATTTACATTTATTTACATATTTACATTATGTATTCATTCTGAACCATTCATGTTTTGTTTGACAGAGTGCTTTAAAGAGTATATTCCTCAGTTTTACCAGTTAACATTAAAATAAAGTAAATTAAAACTTGAATAACAAACGGATGTACCGTTACACCTCTATTAAAAATACAACCCTATAAGGTATGTGTCAGGTGGTGTCCTCTGCTGTGACCTTGTTGAGGTGACAGTGCAGCCCGTTGTGAACGATCGAGTGGAAGTTCTCTAGGCGGCTCCCGTGGAATGCGTAAAAGACTCCCCTTTCTTCTCGAGTCTTTTCAAACCTGGAGTTTATGTGATCAGAGTACTCCAGCTCAAACAGGAAGTCTGGCACAGGTGCAGCAGTGCCTTCATATTCTGTCAGGTCACAAAGTTTGGCGTACTGGTGAAGATAAGAAGACATGCTGTGAACAAAACAGTACTTTTCTAAAGATGCTGCAGTGTTTGTGCTTCCATTTGTAGCCAATACCTCCTCCCTTTGTAGTGTTTTGACAGCAAAGCTCTTTGAAGACAGGATCCAGTGTATAAGAGCCAAGTGATGATCTCCTTCTCCACACCGGAGTCTCACCAGATCTCTCACACCAGGCAAGGTGTTCACGTCTGCCAACTTAGGAATAAAATCACTCTTTAAAAACATATAGACAATAACAATGTTCTCCTTGTGTTTAGTTTTAGACTGATATAATATTAAAGATAAATAATATTCAGGTTTAGACTCTTACCTATGCTGAACCAAACGTGTTTAGTTACATCCCAAGACAAAAAGAGCCATTTCAAAAGGCCTAACGATGAGCTACAACGATCTCAAACGTTTGTATATGTAAAGACAACATAAACCAAAACTGTGCTTAGATCTTTAAAAACTTACCTGAGTAAGTAAAGACACACGTGTCTTTAAGCATAAGTAAAGACATAAAAATGGTCTGAAAATGCAAAAGAAAGAAACTTTCCATCTTTTTTTTTTTTTTTTTACAGTTGAAGATAAACAGCCATGTTTGCAGCACACTACTGCCACCAAGTGTGTGTTTCTGTTTATCATGACATAACACAGGTTATATTGTGCTAGTGTCTTCAGTGGGGGAAAAAGATGTTAAATATCTAACACAAAGACAATTGGGCCTGTGATTAACGTGTATGTGGGACCACTACATCGCACGAGCCTGGAAAGTTTTGAATGTCATAGTTCTTACCAGCTCTTCAAAGTCCTTGTTGTCACCACTTGTGTATCGAGGAGGGAAAGGTCTGAGCAAAGAGTCCCTCTTGTAGTTCTGTGCAGCGGCAACAAACAGGCTGCAGCGGAGGTCTGCAGCTACAGGGTCTCTGTGCAGACAGGAGCTCACCAGCTCTCTGACAGCTTCAGGAGGCAGCAGCGGCTGCATCCCCAGCCCTGCACACACAACACACAACATACAACATACAACACACAACATACAGGAAGTGGCTTCAGACAGTGACGTGCTGATGAATAACAAAACCAGACATGTCAGAAGGATAACAGGCAACGAACAATTAACTTTATGTTATTTATTCATTTTAAATTTATGAAGTATTTATCATTTATAACATGAGTTATAAAATACATGTTGGGTTACAATCCAAACTCTTCTTCCTAAAAAAAAACACAATAAAAGAAAAGCAACTGACCTCGTACAAAAATATAAGATCTACTGTATCCATTTCATGCAATTATATATCTAAATAAAAACAATAATTTCATGTCTGGTATACACACACACATTTTTAAGTGATAAATTAATTGAAGGTACCGTAATTCAGTTTATACATGTCTGATCAGACAAGGAACACCTTAAAGTTATTTTGTGCACGATTGTTGAAACTACCGTACTATTTTCTTCAACATAAAATGAAAAGAGTGTTCTGACTTTTTTTAATCTTGTTTGTTTTTGTGTTACCTGTCTAGATTTATTCATTATGATTTAAATGGAAACAAAACCTCATGATTACGCCATATGTCACTTTAATCAAATGTTTTCGTTAGCTTCTTTTTATCTTTAAAGACCAACATGAAGACAAATGTTGACACAAAAATACAAATGTGAAGCACAATTTTTAATACTGCCACTTCGGTTGCGCATTCACGTGTTTTTGTACATTGAAGCTGTAGGTGTCGTTGAGTTAGCTAAACAGCTAACTTTCAGCTAACATTAGCCGCGACATGAATATAATCAACTTGTAACCATACCAATGTTCCGTTGAACAGTATAAAACTTATGATGTTTCATGTCAGGAAAACGTCCGAGTGGGACATATACACTCACAAGCAAGTAATTGATTGTCTTACCTTCTGTCTAGCTCAACTCATAGCATTACAGTAACATGGAAAGCTAACGTTAGCTTAGCCTAATACCTAATACTGCTGCATTCAAGGACAGGACAAACCTTGTTTTTTACCACACCCTACACAAGAGAGGTGAAGAAGAACAATCAAAAGACGCCATGATGTTAAAAACAAAACATAAGTGTGGTTTTAAAAAAAAGTCTCAGCATTTCAAAGTGGAGCACACAAAATCGGGTGTAAAACAACATAATTTTAGTGGTTTCTTTTTTACTTCGACGTTCAAGAACCCAGAAAACTGTGATTTCCGATGACACGAGAAGGCAGCTGACGTGAAACTGTAATAAACCATGAAGTGAAAATCCCTGAGTTGTTGTTTGTGGTGAAAGTATCAATATATTTATAGACTGAGCTGTTTGAACAAGACCACAACCATACATTCGTCAATTAATAAATAATCAAAGAATAAATTAATATACACATCTTTGCACCCAAATCAGCATGGTGTCTGTCTACACTTCTCACTGTGCTTTTCTTGGTTATTCAAAATAAAAAATAATTTAAACAGAAATGAATTTATAGCATGTTTGTGAAACTGTAAATTGTGATAAACAGAACAGATGTGTGCTTCCTTCCTTCCATGCGTATATGTTTTTAGTTTTCTACACCGCCCTATAATCTAGTTGTTGTTGTTTTTTGTTGCATTTTCTTTAAAATACGATTTTATTTTTCACTTGTTAAAAAAAATTCTCAATTTGTACGCATCCTTTATGATTGCGTATTATTATTATCTTTGTTGTCCACCACTCTGTTAAATCAGGCCTCTCTTGTAAATGAGTCCACGAGGCTCAGTGGGATTAACGTGTATGAATAAAGGTTGAATGAATGAAAAAAGATTACTGAGGCTTCAAATGTGAACTTGAAGAGACCACCCAGTGTACATGTACAACCTAAAGTACAGATGAGTAAACTGCTGTATTTTTTTACAGCTGCAACATTTAATTTGTTATTAAAAGAATTACACGCTAAGCAACACCTAAACAAAAATGTAATTTGCAAATAATTTTTTTTATTGTTGTCCGTATATTTTACTGTATGTATTAATATGTAGACTGGGAGGAGGCCCTGGGGAAGAACCCAGACATGCTGGAGTGACTATGTCTTGGCCTGGGAACACCTTGGGGTCCTCCTGAGAGAGGTGGCTGTAAAAAAGATGTAAATGGACTGTACTTATATATCGCCTTTCTATCTTATCAAGATACTCAAAGTACTTTATACTACAATCTGTGTCCTCATTTACCCATTCATACAGCACTCTACTAGATCTCTACAAAGCTAATTGAACAAATAATTCTAAAGAGACTAATCAGAGCTTTATCACATTCACACACTGATGGGACACACATCAGAGGCAACGAGGGGTTCAGTGTCTTGCCCAGGGACACTTCGGCATGTGACTGCAGGTGGATTCAAACCCCCAACTCTCGCATTGGAGGGCGACTGTTCTAACCACTCAGCCACAGCCGCCCCTGGATATCCCCCGCGACCTGAAGTAAGTAAGTAAGTAAGTGAGTGAGTGAGTGAGTGAGTGAGTGAGTGAGTGAGTGAGTGAGTAAGTGAGTAAGTAAGTAAGTAAGTAAGTAAGTAAGTAAGTATGTATGTATGTATGTATGTATGTATGTATGTATGTATGGATGTATGTATGTATGTATGTATGTATGTATGTATGTATGTATGTATGTATGTATGTATGTATGTATGGATGTATGGATGTATGTATGTATGTATGTATGGATGGATGGATGTATGTATGGATGTATGGATGGATGGATGGAAGGAAGAAAGGAAGGAAGGAAGGAAGGAAGGAAGGAAGGAAGGAAGGAAGGAAG